TCCAAGTCGTTTTTTTAATTCTTTCGATACAGACACACACACACACACATACCGAAAACTGTAATTGGCATTATAGCTCATTCCACCTTTGAACGCGTTTTGAATCGCGATTTTTTTTCTTCAAACATTATATATATATCGGCTTGTTTTGTATTTGCTTCAATTTGAAAATGACATTCATGCGAGTCAGCGCGCTCACGCGCACAAGTACCTCAAGACAAAAGAAACAAATAACGATGAACAAACAAAACGGAAAAAAGAAAATTAACGTCACTTATTGAATAAGAAGAGCCGAAAAAAAGACGACACGTAAAGAGCGTCGCGAAATGCGATGACAAACGGAAATTGTTTCGTCTGCGTAATTGTTGTGCAGTTTTTGATCAATGCCATATACCATCGTTGTATTGTTTTACTTTGGTTTTTCTTCAACGGCGGCACTTTTTTTCTCGCTCTTCGATGATCATACATTTTCTTGTGTGCACTTCATTTAAGGATTGTTACTCGTTCAATTTTTTTTGGAATCGTCGTCGATGTCATTGTGTCAATTACGTAAAAAAATTGTGAATATGGGTCAAGATGCATGGGATCTATTCGGTGACTAAATTCAAGCAATGAGATGGCTGTATCATTTACACCGCGTTAGAATTGCACAAAATCATTGATCGGTTTGGCTACTGTATAGGCTGTTCTCACGCTAACAGAAAAACCATTGTCAACATAGTGTGATTGTGTGACGTCCTCGTCGTGCGCACAACCACCGGAGAAAATACGGCACGGAATCGGGTCAAGGCAATTTAAAACCGATTTATCATCTGTTGTGTCCGCTCTTGTACGCCGAAATGCAATTTTTCGAACCAGAATAACATCGATCATAACACAGAGCGATCGAATAAAACGATGCAAAATAACATTGAATTTGTTGGCCAACAGCAATATTTTAATGCCATCCGCTTGTCCGTTAAAATAAATTATTTGATTACATGGGACGAAGATTGAACAAATGATCGTATTCACATTTATAATGTGTTAATAATTGCAAACGCAACAAGGATTTTGAATATGCACGTACGAAGTGTGCAACCTGATCGCCAATTCATATTGGTTGCAACAGGGAAAGAAAATGAAACAGCATAAGATGAGAGGAAAAAAATATCATACCCAGCACCGAAATTGATTAATTTCATATATTTTTTGGTCGTTCATGTTTCGAACATGAGTAACATCGACACCATCGAACAGGCACACACTTCGCTTGGCTATCTTAATCAACGATGTAATTAATTGTGTTTGAGCATTTTTGGATGTTTTATGGAAATACTAGTTAAAACATACGAAAAGAGATAAAAAGACGTAATATAATGGCTTTTTTTCGTCGACTTCGAACGATCGTTGATCTCTTAATTTTTTCCCTCTGATTCGATGTTTTGCCTGAAAAGAACATTTAATCGTTTAATCATATTTTTTTTTGTGTGCAAACAGCTTTATTACAAGGTGTATGCGGAAAGCGGTTGATTGCCTCGTTACCATGTATGCCTTTGAAGCCATTGATCTGTTATCACACCTTTCGCGTGACTCGTACACACAAAACCGAATTGAAGGATGTAATTTTATCGTCTCATGATTGATGCGTTTGTGTGACCACATTCGAAAAATGAACGTCAATTGCCAATCTCACCAGCGAACTTTATGCTCCAAAAGAGAAAATCGTGTTCATTAATAACAATCTCCCGAAATGAAGAAATTATAAGGTTTTTACAGAAAAAAAAAACGCTTTACAAATGAAGATATCCAAATAAAAACCGGGTATTTTGTTTTCATTCGAAAGACAAATGAATGGTAAAACAAAATCTTCCTGACGTTGGCAACCAACGGCAAATATTCCACCGAAAACGTGTTACGATCGTCATTATATAAAGAATGAAAAACCGTTCACAAATGTGCGCGCGAATCAAAGGGGGCGTAAATGTTGTTTTATTTTATTTTCGTTTGTATGAAAATCGATTTCACAAAGCACAATTCCCCAAAAAGTCACACAAAACGAAGCGAACACATTTTGCACACATTATCTGACCATAATAATAATTCTTATTGAAAGATTTATATGCACAATTGAGAAAAATGCTATTATATTCGAAAAATCGGCATTCGGCCGAAAAAATTTAAATGGCATGAAAATATGCGTGGCCTTTTCCATAACCGGACAACCAAGCAAATCGAAATGAAATTTATCAAATTTGCGATTCGAATACATAATTGAGTTATAGCTTTTTAGATCAACGGATAAGAATGAGGACGATGAAAAAAACAGAGGTGAATATTATGTGTGAAAGTGATCCGGATAATTTCATTAAATGTTCGCATTTTCGATGAGTGTGTGCACGTGAATTTTTCTCGTGCGATAGAAGCAATTTCACTCTGCATGCGCGTTGCTGAATTTACGCCACCAAATTTGGAGTCACATGTGATTCAACGCCATCGATTATGGATGCGAGCGCGCATATTATGACCAAAACAATACACAAACCAAGTAACACAATACCAATGTTAAAAAAGTAACATCAGGTTTGTTTTTACTGAAACAAGGCACGAACCGTTTTTTTTTCGTTTCTTCTTTTTTTTTAGATCGACAAAGGAACAAAAACACAAACATAAGACAAAATTAAACATAAACATGGCACAATTGTATTTTTTTGTTTGTTTGTTATTAAATCAGTTCAGATACGCAGAAAACGCATGTTCAAAAACAAAATGTTGCAATGACGTATCTCGTGCAGACATCAAGCAACAACGCATGAACATATATACAAACAAAGCTCCAGGAATTTATTAATTAGGCGGATAATAATTGTCATTATATTACCATATTTCTTGGTTTGTTGTATGTAAGTAAACTTGACTTAGTCACATATATGTGGAGCAATAATATGTATGAAGCGATGCATTGAAAGCGACGCCAAATTGCAACAGCATCGGTCTGAATTCAGATTCAGAAAAACGACCGAATGAAATCAGATAATAAATTCAACATGATGACCGACCGAACAGTGAAAAGAATGAAAAGAAAATCAGGCGACAATTTTATTATAAAATAAATAATTTAATGTGAATTGTAATGGTCGTTTTGTGATTGGAGGTCGCACATTGATTTCAACAAAACATAACATAAAATGCTCAATTCGAACACATTATTATTATTGCAAAAAAAAAATGTTGAAAACGACGACACAAACGCAATAACGACGAAAGCTAACGAGAGAAAAAAAACACACCGAGAAACAATGGAATTCTTTGCGGTACGTTAAGCTGAACATCTGAAATTGAGCTACTTGTGATTCATCGTCACCAAAAGGAATAACTTGAGTGAAACAAACAAAAATATATATAATTAATTAATGCTTATTTATGTTGTTCAACATCTTTCAACATACAAATCGACACCGAGCATTGATCATGTCGGCTCTCGAATGACAATGAGTTATTGCAAAATATGCGGACGTACGCAAACAGTAGCAAACGACGTGGCGAACGTATGAGAAAAAAAGGGACAGAAAGAAAGAATGAAAAATATGTATCTGAATCGATTATGCTTTTGGTTTGCAATCGACAACGTTATTGGTCAATGCAAATTGTGTTCCTTTGTTGTTTTTGTTACTTGTAGTCGTTTTTTTCTTCGTCTTTTTCATGTTTCGCGGTGACAATTTTTTTTGTCCACTGTTTTGGAGATACACTTTGCACTGAAAACACATTAATTTCATCAAAGAATTCACACAAATAAATGAAATTCAGCAACAAAAACAAAAACACTACAACTATTGTCCAACCCCGGCTCCATTCGATATACATTGCGCGTAGCCTAATTGGCTCTTGAATGAACATTTTTATATAAAAATAATTAATACCATATAAGCGAATAATAATGGTGATTATTGTTATATGTATGCGACTGACGACAGCAGCATTTAAAGAAGAAAAAAAAACAACACGAAAAAATGCGATTCGGCTTTTGCCAAATTGTAATGCTATATAAATTGGCTACTTTTGCTTTGTTCTGGTAATTCTCTCACTCGATCGCATATTTTTCATCTTGACAATTTTTTTTTGCCATTACTGTTGCTGCTCATTTCGGTTGCTGTTATTTTCTTTTCAAGTATATCCCTCATTCCGAGGCGGACCTTACATGTGGACTTTTATTCAAGTTGACATATTTTTATTCGTACTTATTTTCTTTTTCGTTTCGTCAATGTGCAAACTCTTCTCCGCTCGAATTCAGTCGTATTACAACAATAAAACGAAATCGATTCCTTATTAACAGTTAAAATCACGCACGAGAAGAAAGAGGAAAACAACGCAAATAAAACATCCAAAAAATACTTTTCCCTCATTTAAAATATTTTTGGTTAATTTTTTTTTTCTTTGGTTTTGCTCATGTGCGTTATCAGCAATGTGTGTGTGTGTGTGCACTCACGCAGTGGTAGCTCCTTTGTGAATTTATTCCGGTGCATATAACGAGTCGTCGATTTAGTGTGCTTGCAAATGTTTTATGATACCAATTGCAGCAGATTTATTTCATCGAATTAAAATTGTCGCTAATATTTATGTTCCCATTGTAAATGGTTCAGATCGCGGGTAGTTCGTTATATTTTGTCTTTTTGCCGTTGTTCTTCTGCTCGCGCTGCTTTGGTTTGACATTCCTTCAGCGCTTTACGGTGGAAAAGAGTTTTGCGAAAATATCTCGAAAATTCGAAATGGACATGAAATCGTGATTTCCACAAGTCTCACTTTACAACATTGCAATAAAGTAGAGAAAAAAAAAATGACTGCAACTTAAATACACACATTTAATGTACGACTCTTTTTTTTTCTCTCTCTCATTGAATCGAAGTTTTTCGCGATCATAAAATTTAATTAAGAAGCATAAAATTCGAAACATTACATTTTGTAACGGCAATAATAATTAGGAAATAATTTTCTCTTTTCTTTTTCTTTCGATATCATTACAGATTTACAATTCGAACAATTTGTGTATGGAATTGATGCCAGATATTATTACAAAATAATATTCACTTGTTTTACCTTTGATAAACTGGGCTAAGTAAAATAAAAACATATAAGACGTAACATACAAACCAAGATCTAGATTTTCAAACGTTTTACACAAATCAACGGCCGATCAAAAAGTGTTGATTTGGCAAAGACAACAACAACGAGAGATACACATATAAATCAGATCGTAAACATAAAATTTACAACTTAATTAGCTCTATGGTTATTCAGTTGAAGGCTTTACAAGAAACTATGTCGGCTGGCAGCATGGATATCACCGAGACATTTCGCACTGACGATATTACAAAAACCGATTTCTTTGACTTTGTTACCGCACCCGATACGATCGGTATTGGCATCAACGATCGCGTCACATCTGATACAAATGGCAACAATTTAGATGCACCGCTACAGGGTTTCGATCAGGTAAACTATTCACAACTATTGTGCTACATCTATCTGTTTGCTTCTCTTTATTACGGAATTTTTTTTCTTCTGATTTATAAATATAATCTACGCTTAATCAAATCTCATCAAACACGAATGTCTAAACATTTTAATTTATTTTGCAATAAACAGTTTTGGGGTGCTGAAAAGGATGTAAACCGCTTTGAATCAACGATATTCGAAGATTTAAATCGCTATTGTTGGACACAACAAAATAACTCTGGTGAGTTGGGTAGTCAGGTGTGTAACACAGATGGTCAAATTTATACGTTGACAGTATTAAATGGAAACGAGCCATGGCTGTTGAGTCAACAACAAGAACCGATCATGGTACAGCGCAAAGTTTGTGATACAGCCGAAGAGACGCCAGCACCAGCACTTGATTTTGACAGTTTGTTAAATACATTTCCCGGTTACATTAAAACCGAGTACTCCTATGATGACAGTGGCTTTTCAACTGACAACAAAGACGATATTCTCATTCATTCATCGTCTTCGTCCGTGTCAAATGCATCGTCTATATCAAATGTTCAGCAGCAGCAACAACAACAACAGCAACAGCAACCGCCACAACAACAGCCTCAGCAGCAGCAGCAACAACAGCAGCAAACACATCAATCGGCACTTCAGCAAAATCAACATAATCAACAGCAGCAGATTCCGGTTACCAATAGCACGAATTTAAATAGCACACTAAATGCCGCATTTCACAATAATAACAACAATGATTGGCAAATGGCTGATCATAATATCATCGTCGAGGATGGCAATGTAAGTGTTTCTTTTTCTGCTTATTCACACTGACTGAACAACTTTTGCCAAAATATACACATCCACACACAAAAGATTCAACATTTGTGCTGTGTAATAAAGTTTTTTTTTGCATAATTCGCCTTGAAATGAATTTTGCATTGATGCTTACCGACCGAACTTTGGATACATTGCGTTTAATTGAATTTTAATGAGAATGTTTTTAATTTTCGTGTCAATTTCTCATTACGCACAATAGGAAACACCAGAATCACTGTTGCGCAGTGCACTTCAGGGTAAAGGCTATTCAAAAGGCATGCAACAAAATACGCTAACTGTCATTCCATCCATAAATAGCATCAAAACTGATGCCACTCTGAGGCGAGCCATCTTCTCCAATGATGCTCAAGTAAGACTATTTCTCTTTTTTATCTTTTTCGCTTCTCTTCTCATCAACACACATTAAATACATCGCATTCATGTCTATAAAATTATGTAAATTTATGAAAATCACATCAATGAAAATAATCATGCAAAACGAGAATAAATGTGAACATCTATCCGAAAATGCTAATTGAGTAATTAAAATTTTGTGTTTTTTTATTTTTGTTGTTGTTTTTATATAGACAACTTTAACATTTGCTGATTCAACGCTAAATAACCCGCTATTCGATGAGAATCATTCGGGTGTGCAATCGACAAATTCTTCACTGCCAACATCGAATCAATCGGATGGCACCGAAAATGGTGTTATGGTCGATGACATGTTTTTAACATTGGACTCATCGTTTACCGACGATTTTGAGAAAATCAAACGTATCGCATCCGATGTTCAACAATTTTGTATTACCGATGATTTTTCAGAGATGATAACTGAAGTTGCCATTCCATCAAATGCCGCATCAATTGTAAGCACAACGGCTATGTCGCAACAGGACATTGTCACCACATCGAATAGTGCATTGATTAATAGCAGGCCCAGCACAACTACAGCCAAACAAAATAAAGCGACAAAAAAATATAAACGATCACCGAACCATAACAACAACAACATCAATGTGAACAACAACAATTTGACAAACAGCAACGGTAATATGAATCTCAATACAGCCATCAATGGACAACGCAAAGAACGCTCTTTGCACTATTGTTCCATTTGCTCAAAAGGTTTTAAGGATAAATACTCAGTGAATGTACATCACAGGACCCACACAGGTACATCACTTGTTTTTTTCTGTTTTTTTTTTTTAATTCAATTTTTGAACAAAACTCAAATCTTACGATATTCAATATTTCAAATAATAATTTATTTCAATTACAATTCAATTTTAGGAGAGAAACCATTTTCGTGTTCGTTATGCGGAAAGAGTTTTCGGCAAAAAGCTCACTTGGCCAAGCATTACCAAACGCATTTGGCACAAAAAAGCGCAATCACCACAAAAGGATCGAAAGCGCAACAACAACAACAACAACATCAACAGCCGCATCCAGCTCAAACAACTGTGCCGACAGCCGTACTCACAAACGGCACCAACATTATCAGATAAATCAATTGCCTTCCATTTTATATATTCGTATCGCTCATTTGCCTACTATTTGTTTTAAGAATTTATTTACAGTTTTCTTTTTAAAAAAATTCCTTTTTTGATTTTGCCTGAGTGATAAAAGACTAAATTTTTGTATAAGATTCGTTTTTTTTCTTACTTTTTTTTTTCGTTTGATTTTCATCATGTTTTTATAGAGAGAGAGGAAAAAAGAAAACCTTTATTTTTTGTGTGTCTCGTTTAAATTAATTTATTTACATTTAAAAATGGTTATTTTTGTTTGTTTTGTTTATATACATATATTTTCTTCTTTGAGATTACCGTAACGTTATCGAACCAGGCCTCATGAAATGAAATACTCAATTTGATTAGATTTGTATGCATGTGTGAGAGAAAAAGCGTTCAGATGTATCGAAATGTAGTTGTAGATTATTACTCCTTTTTTTCTAAAAAAAAGAATAGGTTCCTTAGTTACCATTTATGAATCTTTTTTTAAATACAATTTCAATGTGTTGTACTTGAGTTATAAACTCGATAATTTTTTTTGGCAATATTCCATGCTAAACATATTAGATTTTAAGCATTGTAATTGTAATTAAACAAACTATAATTCATTTTATACTTTCATTTGTTTGTTTTTCGTAATGCTCATAACTATATATAAAACGAACAAATATCGTTGAATGCTATTCATATATGACCAGATGGAGAAGTTCTACCATTTGATTAGATGTCATGTTAATTCGTTTGTTTGTTTTTCTTTCGTCTATGTCCGTGTTTAGATTGTATGTAACACTTTTGTTAATGTTGTAAATAGGAAGCAACTCAAAGAGAAATTGCTTGCAATTGGAGTGAAACAGGAACATTTTCATATTTTTGATCTAAAAAGAGATTTATGAAAACACATTTTTTTTTGGTGGAATTTCATTTTATTTTTCTTGTGTATAAATTTATCTTTTAAAATTTAGAAATTAACTTTGTTTTGAACACACACACACACAAAATCATACAAATGGAACGGTAACATGCTGTGATCAATACACACTTACTCATTACACGATTACAAGGTCGAATAGCGAACTAAAATGAATGCGAAGTGCGATTGCTGATGGAAAATATAAATGAATCGCATCTTTTTTTAAATCAATCTCAAACTATTTCTTGCCATTTTCAGAATTTTGAGACTTTCCTCAAAATGAGATAAAAAAGAATGTGAAATGGATGAGTTTTTTTCGGCGATTTTGATAAGGTATATCGATCATATTGAATGGATCGGAATCGGATAACAAAAACAAAAATCAATCTTATTTGTGCAAAATACTCTTTAATATCTTGTCGTCGTGCATAGGAATTCACACACTTCAAAACACATCACGCCACTTGAATTCAGTTTTGCATAGCAAGAAAAAAGAGCATACGAAAAATTCGTTAATTCATGGTACAGTTGCCAATTCCGTTGAATCACTTAAAAATGATTTATATTATGTACGTTAATATTAAACATTTAGAAGATAGTCTCTTTAACCGATTTCATCACAAACACTTACCTTTTAAATGAAAAGAATCACCATACGCATTTACACGATATCTCTCTTTTTTTATTAAATCATTTTTATTTCGTGCAGTGAAAATGTTTCTTCTAATTTCAAGCATGCGGGACACATTCATTCTGCTTTCGCTCATATCAGCGTAAAAGCAAGTCCTCACGCTACTTAGTTGAATTTTTCACAATTTTTTTTATACAATTTATACATAAGCAAAATCAACATATTTATTGATTTATTTATATTCATATTGTAAGTTCGATTTCAAACTAAGATTCATGTGCGTAACTTTTTTTCTCTCCGTTCACTACAACTTCTTTTTTTTTACTTTTATTACTATTATACAGTTTTTATAACGCATACATAATTTTCTATAATTTAACGTTTTTTTGAAAAGAAAAACAATGATTACTTAGATTGTAAGCATTCAAGAATATTTCCATATCAATAGAGTTATCGAATGAATTTATATTTTATGTAATGTTTCAATTTTTTTTTCTTTCTGATGTAAGTTGAATTCAGAAAACGAACATTTATTAAAGAGCAACAACTCATTTGAATAAAAATCGATATTGTTTATATGTTTCATTTAAACCTTTTTTCAGGATGAATTTTTTTTTTTTTTGATATTTTAATTTGATGCTTAAATGGTAGGTACGGTGAGAGAGACAGTACTCAACTTTGAACTTTATCCATTTTTCTCAAAGTAAGTATCGAAAATCAAGTAGCAGTAGAAAAATCTATTCTCCGCAACTGTAATTAATAAAAATGAACCGTTTTCGGTAAGGTATTATTAAGTCGTCTGATTGACTATGCCGTGAAAATAAAATATTTTTTAATTACTACAATCGAGTCGATCGTCATCTAAACTTATTTTAATTATATTCCAAAAAAAATGAAAAATTGTATAAAAGACAGTTTTAGTTTTCGATTTCGTTCATAAAAGTCTTGACCATGGATTCATCGAAGGCATTGAAGTTTCATTTAAAAACATTTCGATTGGCTGGATTTTTGCCGAGCATTTCATCATCGTATTTTTATCATATTTGGACAATTTTTGTGTTTTTCATTTTTGGCATTTTATTTTCGTTGAGCCAAATTTTAAATATATTTTTCGCTGAATCAATCATGGAAATGGTAGATCGCTCAGTTATAACGAGTTCGATTATAACCAATGTTGTGAAAGCATTGAATTTATATGCAACTCGAAGTGGGTTGAATGAATTTTTAATGGTTATCAAAGGACTGGACGCTGAAATCCACGATGAGTCGCATATCTTCAAAATGAACGCCACCATTAAATTGGGCCATCAGTTGTATTTCTGGTACCTAGGTCCATATGTATCGACCTGTGTGCTATTAGTGTTTCAAACCATATTCTCATCACCAGTGAACAGAATGTGGCAAAGCACCTATTCCTTTCCATTCGAATGGGCTCAACAACATCAAATCTATACAAGCGGTCTATTTATTCAAGGATTCGCAAACACTTGCAGCGTAATCTTTGCAGTTGCGGCAGATACTTATGGCGTGATTTTGATTCAAATTTTATCAACACATATTAAGATTTTACACGAACGATTGGAAATATTGGGGACACTCAGACATGAAAAGAATTTCAATAAGTTGATCTATTGCTGCAAGATATACGAAAACATTTTAAGGTTTGAAGACCATTTTTTACTGATAAGTATTGAAAATAATAATCAAATATTTATTTCTACAAGTTGTGAACAATTATTGGAATCAATTTTGGGACTGGCTTTATTCGCTCAATTCTGTGTGAGCGGTGTTGTTCTTTGCACAAGTGCTTATCAACTGACCATGGTAAAATAAAGAGAATTTTTAATTTTCACATTGAATTTTTTAAATTTAAAATTAAAAACATTCCTACTTTCTTTTGAAATCAAGATTTCATCCGACGAAATATCCAAGCTCTCTTTCATAGTTATGTACTTCATGTGTATGATGACCGAAATATTTGTGCCTTGTTTCTTTGGTTCCGTTGCTTTAGAAAAGAGTCAACAAATTCGTTGGAAAATATATAGTTCAAATTGGATTGATCAGAATCAAAAGTATAAGCAGGCTTTTCTTATATTTACCAGTAGAACTATCAAGCCAATTCATCTAACTGTGTACAAAGTGCTGTATTTGGATTTGACCACATTTTTAAGGGTGATTTATGTCATCGTTTATTTTTTAAGAGAGAGACTCTTGAACATATTTATTTCACCGATTCTAAATTATTTTCGTCAAAATAAAATTGAGATCGTTTTCCATTTCAGATTTTAAAAACTGCATATTCATTGTTTGCTCTATTGAAAAATGTTTAAAGTTTATCGGTTCAAAACAATCAATTGGACGCACTTTTGTCAACATTGAATCTGTCTATTATGGCAACATTTGACGTTTCTTGTCAAAGTTTTAAATTCGTTCGCGTGAGTATATTCACGTATACCGTTGTGAATGTTTTCAATGCAAAATCAAATAAAATTATTTCCCTAATGAATAAAATGACCCGTTTTGGTATGTTTTTATCAATTTAAATTTGTCATTTACCCAGTTGAAATCATTAAAAAAAGATCGAATATTTGTTCAGCGCAAACGAATCCTTTCTCTGGCACTACCATAATTTTGACATCTGTTTACCAACACATGCAAAAGGTGGTGTTTATTGGACACAAACATATGTTGGAAAAAGAAGTGAAGTGAAACTCCTAAATGTCAAACAAAACCTGAAGAGATTATACACAGAACCAATAGTCTGATAATTATATTTATTACACCGAATTCGTGATTTGTTTTATCAATAACTGAAAATAAACGAGTTGCAGCCGATATTTCGTAGAGAAATTGTAAAATTATCGATTATTCAAAGGTTGATTTTGCGTGAAAGATGTTGTGTTGTTTAAAATTTCTGTATGGTGGAACGAGTACCAGTGCGAATGTTGCCATGAAAATGCACCAAAACAATATACAGCTGGATACAACGAATATGGGTAACGCATTAAATTACAATATGGAACTTGAGAATGCAATTGTATTTGAGTGTAGAATGTGTGAATGATTAATGAATGAATGATTTGCTTGTCAACAGGTCATGAAGTGGTTATTCTTAAGAATGGCACACGCATTTGTGGTTCGGGTGGGGTTTTGAGTACAGCGCCATTAGTCCAATCAAAATCGTATTTCGAAGTGAAACTTCAACAAACTGGACAATGGTCAATCGGGCTTGCAACACGTAAAACAGATCTGAATAAAACAAAAGGTGGCACCGACACAGAATCATGGTAAAATTACATTCAATTCCATTTCTCATATAAAAAAAGACATTTGTTAATTAAATCAATTGTTTATTTTACGTTTCAGGTGCTTAAATTCCGATAATATTGTAATACATAACAATATTGAAATCCATAAACTTTCACTTCAACCTGCCGATATAAATAGCTCATTAGATAATATTAACGACGTTTTACCGGGTACAAATAACGAAACGGGAATTCCAGCTGAAGGTGACACAATCGGAGTTGCATACGACCATGTCGAAATGAATTTCTATCTAAATGGAAAAAAACTCGATATTCCTGTGTTGAATATCAAAGGAACGGTTTATCCTGCGCTATTTGGTAAGAAAAATATTGACACGACACTCAACTGTGAATTTATTTGATTGGAATGATTCGATGATTTATATTTTGATTAATAGTTGACGATGGTGCCATATTGGATATCATTCTGGACGATTTCAACTACGGACCACCGCCTGGATTCGATAAAATTATGCTTGAACAATCACTACTATGATTACTTATTTGTAGATTAAATCTCAAAACAATTTAACGAACAAACATGAACAAATAACCCGACTGAATGCTATTGCAATCTGGCTATTATATATCATTGCATTCATTCCGTATTTATAGGATAATAAATGTTTTTAAGTGTCTATGAACTAAAATTTACATGAACACTACCAGATGTCTTACTCAAACCAAACTCGTGTATACAAACAAACAAACAAATATGAAGAATCATGAAGTTTTATTGAATGGTTAATTATCTATATTTTTTCGCAAATCTAGCATATATGTATAAAATGTAAATGAAAAATATTTATTTTAATGTGTAAAGAAATTGATCTTCGTTATTCTTTCCTTAATCTCAAATCTTTGACATTTTGAACGCTTTTTTCAATAAAAAAACATCTATCTAAGCAGATCAAGCTCACGTGGTTTTTTTTTTTAAATAAACAAACTATTTAACATAATAATATTACAACATAAAAAAAAAAAAAATCTAATTATTGTAATTCGAAAATATTGAAATATCTCTGGAAACAATGGAGCATTTTACAATCATTTAAACGTCTAATAAATGTGATACATTGAACCTGCGGGCATTGTCATTTATTTGCATTTTGTTTATTTTTCATCACTTTTCCACTTAATCAAGGCTCTAGTCTCCTAAGAAGGTGATAAAAAGGCAAAAAAATGAATTTTACCTAATATTTTGATTATTTTCAAAATAGTATTTTGTTTTCCAAGACAGAGTCGATTCGAAGATTGGCTCACCCAACACAACCTGGACTTTTTTTGTAATTTACTTGCATACTATTTACGGATGCTAAATCTAGTAAGTAATAATTTGTAATCCTATTATTTTCGCGATGAGATTTAAAATTAAGCCACGTTTGCCCAATTTTACTTTTCCGGACACCTAGTGTAGGAAAGGTATTGTATTAGGCCAAAAAATTAAAGTCACCCCAAAACATGTTTTCTATGCATAATTCATGCGTCGCTGTGTGTGATGTGTCCTGTGTCCTGTGGCTCCTTTTTTTGTTACCGCGATAAGTCTTCTTCCAAAAACTCAATTCAAATTCTGTTTTTGCAGGATGATTTGGGACTACTAGGAGACGTGCTGATTAGTTTTTGAGCAATATCCGTTGACCGGTGTAATTTTTTTTGGTCCGAATGGATCCACTCTAGGGGCTTAATACGGCAAAAAAATTCACAGGAATTCACGTAAATTCACACTTTTGAATCGAGTGGTTATTGATGAGTTCGGTGAATTCGTGTGAATAGAATGAAATGTGTCAAAGTAATAAAGTGAGGTTATGATAACCGCAATATTTTTTAATTTATTATTTTTTCAATATTTCCGATTGTTTTCGATAGAAAATCGCTCAAAATTGAAAATAAAATTAATTTTCATTTAAAAGAATATAAAAAACATTTGCAATTTTGTTACACAAAATATAAATATGGCAGTAATTGCCAACAGAAACTATTCACCACTATCTCACATATTTGAATGAACTCGCCGTAGAATTCACCGGAATTTATTCGTTTGCTGAAAAATTCAGTTAATTTGGATATTATTATACACACAAATGATAACTAACCTCAATATGAACAAAAATTGACATAAAACTCAATTTATCCGAAGTCTCAACCGTTTTGGGATAAATTTTAGTATGCATTTTTTCCGCTCAAATGCCAAAGGGATATATGTTAAGCACTTAAATATTTGAGCGGAAAAAATCTGAACTAAAATTTATCCCAAAAACGGTTGAGACTTCGGATAAATTCAGTTTTATGTCAATTTTTGTTCATATTGAGGTTAGTTATGATTTGTGTGTAGAATTCATTTGTTGAAAATTTTGAATTAAGCCCCTAGGATCCATTCGAGTTCCCATATCCATACATTTTTTGATCATTTTTCAACCATTTTGGTGACACGATGGTTTCATGCTCAGACATGAAATTCAAAATCTGACTTTACGGGATGATTGGGCACTACGAGGAATAGATCTGGTCAAATTTTCAACGTCATTGATTGATCGGTGTAAAACTTAGACTCTGAAGAGGCACTTATGAGAAAAATGCCTTAAAATGATATTCTTTCAATTTGAACGCTGAAAGAATGTCTAGTGGAGGGTTTTTTGGCACGAGAAACCCGAATCTGATGTTAGTTTTAAGATGCAATCAATTTTTAACAGACTTTTCATTCAAAAATCCACAAAAATTTTCATTTTTGTATGAAAGACATGCCCTTGTGGTACCGTAATGATGTGAAACTTTGAACAGGCTATTTTTTTTATTGAAATTTCGTTAAACTTGGTGTGATTAGGATAATATTATTCACAAGTTTTCACGGTGATTTAAGTTACTGCAACCATAAATAGACCATAATTTCAGTTTATTCCAAAAATGTCGGTTCCATGCGGAAAAATCAGAATCGAGAATCGAGATTTTTATTTTTGAATAATAATCCTGAAAAAAATAAAGAGTCTTACGGGAGTAAGACGAACTTTTCCGCACGGTGGTAGTTGCGTATTTTATTAAGAAAGTTCCAGAAAGTTCAAAATAATATTTTTTCGATTTTTCAAGCCTTTCAAGCGGCGTAAAGTTTGAGGCCAAAAAATATGTTTCAACTTTGGCAACAAAATATTCTTTAATTTAATAGCAGAAGTACCCGAGAAAAGGTTTTTCACACTTTCATGATGAACCCATTTGTACGACATTTGAAAGTATTCTATTTTCTAACAAAATACTATAAAAAATATGTCTGACGTTAATTTTGCCATAAAAATTATTTTTGAAACACTTTCCATAACTAAAGTCACAAAAAATTTGGATCTTTGTATGGGAGCCATGTCTGTATGCTATATTAATGGCGTCAAACTTTGCACAGGTTATTTTTTCACAAAAAAATAACATTCAGAGGGTTTGGAGAAATTTCAAACAAAATTAAGAGTACCTCCCATACAAAATATTCGTTTTTGAGCCAAAAATTGAAAATTTTGTATGGGAGGTACCCCTAATTTTGATTGAATATTTAGCATACAGGCATGGCTCCCATACATAAATTCAATTTTTTGTGATTTTTTCAAGGAAACTGTATCAAAAATTGATTGTATCTCAAACTTAACCTCGGATTCGGTTTTCTAGTGCCAAAAAACCCTCCAATACATATTTTTGAGTGTTTAAGTCTATATTAAGTATGACTTTTGGACGAAAATTGGAGTCTTTTTCAAAGGTATCACTCCAGGCATGAATTTTTTTTTCCATCAACCAAAGTCGCTCAAAAGCTAATGATTTTTATTCCTCGGGACCCCCAATCATCCCGTGAAGTCAGATTTTAAATAACTTTTCTGGGGGGTGAGATAATCGATGAACAAATTTTGCGTACGGCGGACAACGTACGACGTGGAAGCGACCCACAACAACCATGCTCAAAACGGCCAGATTCGGGTTCTCTGACCTCAGAAACGTCCAGAAAACATGTTTTTGAGGTTTCGTAAATTTTGACCCATTGCAATACTTTCCCCTTACACACTAAGTGTGTGCGGAAAAGTAAAATTGCGGACTCCTAATTTGATACCCGAGCACTACAAAAATATGCAAAAACCCCTATTCAAAAATCAGCGGTATCGATTTTCATTTCTGTAACGTATATATAGAGTGACGCAAAATATAAGGGAAGACCGTGTAAAGTGGGCATAGTTTTGTTTTTTGGCCAAAAAATTTTCAAATATAAAAATATTGAAGAATATGAATAGTCATCTGGATATTACAGCTTATCTGGATATCGTCAGCAGATGATACGAAGTGAAAACAATAGAAGTAATTGTTATAGGTATATAAGCTTGTTATATACTGGTATTACCATAACAATCACTTCTATTGTTTTCAATTCGTATCATCTGCTGACGGCATCCAGATGAGCTGAAATATCCAGATGACGGCAGCTAAATATATTGTCTGCTTGTCAGTTTAAACTTTTCTGTGTTCTACTAGTTTTGATGTAAACTTGAACTTATTCAAAATCAGACTGAGTCAAGTGCACAAAATTCGCCGATTATACCCACCCACGGGTGCAAGTGGTGGGGAGAGAACATTCTGTAAGGTTTCGACAAATATTTCTAGACATTTTTATAATGTTCCAGTTTAATGTATTTCTGTTACTATGGCAAATTCCAGAATATTTCAGAATGTTCCATGAATTTCTATAGAATTGTTCTAGAAATTTTGATTTGTTCCAGAATATTCTAGAACTTTCTATATTTTTCTATAGATTCATTTAGATGAATAATTTTGAATATTTAAGAAAATTATGGAACATTTTGGGATTTGATGATTTTTTTTGAGTTTTTCCGCACACACCTAGTGTGTAACGGGGAAGTATTGCAATGGGTCAAAATTTACGACATCTCAAAAACATGTTTTCTGGACGTTTCTGAGGTCAGAGAACCCGAATCAGGACGTTATAAGCATGGTTGTTGGTGGTCTGTTCCACGTCGTACGTTGTACGTTGATTATATCAACCCTCAAAAAAGTTATTTAAAATCTGACTTCACGGGACGATTGGGGGTCTCGAGGAATAGAAATCATTAGATTTTGAGCGAATAACCATCCAAATGAGTCCATAGAATGTTATAAAATATTGTGAAACAAAATTATGAATTGCTCACTTTACACGGTATCGAGCTGCTCACTTTACACGGATGACACCATTTTTTTGGTTTAGATCTAGTTTTTCACATTTCATGTAAAATGTTCGGATTCAGTCTGCATATCAAAATTCATGAAAAATACAATTCATTGAATATATTAAGCTTGAAAATGCGTTGAAAATTGATGACTTTATGCAGATTTCAAAAAATCAAGATTTTTTTTCTCCATAATTTCTCAACGTGATGTTTGGTAGAGAAACGAGAAATTCATGTTTTCGCTTCGGTATTTTATGAAAAGTGAGGCATGGATGAGACAAACATTTCACGTATAAGCGCTTGTTATTCCAACGCAATATACAGAAAAAAATGTGAGTGCTCACTTTACACGGGTGCCCACTTTACACGGTCTTCCCTTACATATTTCATATGTATGTTGGTATTGCGTCACTTGGGGACTTCCGTCCTCCGTGATATTTTTTATCTTTTATTTGTCCACAGTCTTTCAACGATTGTGCGTAATAATAATACTGTTTGAAATGTCTTCAAAGTGTGAGGAGACACAATTTTAAGTCAAAACAAAATAATCTCTTATAAATTTCCCCTTTTCGTGTTTCGAGTGTGAAAGCTTATCTATGAGGCTTTTACTTTCATTCCCCACTTGGAAATATTGGAATGAATTGGCGGCGTTGGCTCAAAATGATATGTTTCGCATTTGCGCATGTACAAAATAACACAATTAACTACAACCCCTCCGTCATCAAAATACTCCTGAAAATAAAGCTGCAGCTGTTGTTTAGCAATATTTAACGAGAGTTGAAACTTTTCAAAACCACATTTAAATTACGGTAACGATTGCTGAAAAGAAACCCAAGAGCAACGAAAGACACGTGTGGGCTTTTTCAAATTCAATTATGTGAACAAGTTGAAAAAGAAGAAAATATTTTAAAAGGTAAAGAATATTTGTAGTTTGCAAAGCAAAGAAAAAGTCAATGACTGAAAATTAAAAGTATTCGAGATTTAAACGGCGGTAAATCGATAACTTTTGGTATATTTTATAATGTGAATGGTTCTATAATCGACACTCCCGAATTAATCCGCAGACAAATCGACTTCTGAATCGATAGTCTCAGTCTTAATATACCATTCATTGTACTTTATTTTGAGGAACAACACAAAAAACGGATTCAGCAGCGTTATTTAAACTTGTTTGAATAGAAATGAATGAATTTCCCACTGAATGAATCGAACAGACGGTGCTTAATTTTGGCGGTATCATTTGTATAGGCAAGAAAACAATAAACATAAAAGACTTTCATTTTCGAACCGCAACAGATAAATCACTCCGATTGGAAATATGGAATTCCCAATGCATAAAGATACGTGAGCAAAATTGGACTTGATTGGCTAAGACAAAATCAACATCGAGGTGTGCCGTTGAAATAAACAAATAAAATAACATAGAACGATAAATAACACGAGACAATTTACGCACGAATTTCGATATAATCTATCATAAATCTTTCAAAATCAAGAAGGCGCCTTTGAATAAAATCGGAAAACCGAATTCACATTCGTTGAACATACATGCTTAATACATACGACACGTGAAGCATATGGCACAGTGACATACGATGAGGTAAATGTTTGCCAACATAAAGATCAAAAGGGCAAAGGTGTACAATCAAAAACAAAGCGTGTCACCATTCATTTTCACAAACGTGAAAATTGCCTACGTTAAATGGCATACAAAACAGAAATCCTGAATAAACAATTAAGTTATTTAAATTTAATTTTATGCCATGTTGTTCATTCATTTCCGCAATAATTGATTTTTTCTACTAAAATAATTGAGTGAGGAACAAACCATACTGAAGCGCCGTAAAAAAATAAAAACAATTCCTTGTTTTCTTGGTATCACTTTTGATGATATAAGATTTTTTGTTGTCTCTTCAAGGCAAATCTACTTATTTTTAGAATAAAAGTATGAAACTCAAGTTTCATTTTAATCAAAAACATGTGAAGAATATTTTGCATGATGAACAATGAAAAAGAGATAAGGTTAACAATCCTCTTGAATTATTTTCTCGGAAAAATGCTACAAACTATTATGTAGCAGTTCTTGTTGAAGTTGACAGTGCAGTCCTTCTGACTAAAAATGCTCGCCAAACCATTCGGCCGAACGCTTGGGTCAAAGAACTATTCGATTATAAAAAAAAGGCCAAATCAGTCAAAACAAATAAGATGAAAATGCAATTTTTTTCAATTTGCATTTTTATATTTGAAAAAATGAATATAATAAATAAAGTCAACAACATTAAAATTTAAGTTAATAGTTGATTTATCAAAGTCTTTCTCTCTTAAATTCAGCATCACTTTTTATCGTGTACACATTTGAGCGAAAACCAAATGGGTCGGTTATTTTGTATATTTTTCGTGAATCAATAAAGATGTCTGAGATAACAGTTGGGATATTTGGAATGCCGGCAGTTTCTGCAAGTTGGTTAGCATAGTCTTGGATATTAGATCCAATGCTATGAGTTTTACTATTGGGAATTCCTTTATTCCATTGAGCTTCGTTTCGAGTTTGCATATCTAATTTCATATCTTCATATGGTGGTAGTTTCTTGGCTTTCGTGATGAATTGCAGAGCAAAGCGTGCCTGTTTTTTTTTCAATCAATATATTTAAACATTTATTGAAAAGTATTTATTAAAAAGCGTGGCTTCCAAAGCTGTTTGCCAATTCACCTGCAAATCATAGATGGGCATGGCTGCGACACTAACAACTCCACCGATAAAGGCCATAGTAGGATGTTCAATGTTAATAATATGCTTATAAAGTGGTTCAATGTAATTGTCCTTAACATGAATGCCAGTGCTTTCATCCAAAAATGGATACGAATAATCAAAGCCTGAAAAAACAGCGTTTGATTAAAATGTACTTCAGTTTTATTTCATTGCATCGTTTTCCGTTGTTAATATGGAACATAAAAAAGTAGCAATAAATTACCCGTTGCAAAAATGATTGAGTCAAAGGTTTGGTATGTCCCGTCTTTAAATTCGGCTCCATTTTCAGTTAAACGCTGTACTTCACCTCTTAGTGTGACTTTTGGCCCGAAACCTACTTGTAGTTTTTGAAAATCTTGTTCATTTTCATCATCTGGTATGTGTCGACTCAACGTAACTCGATTAGCATATGTTGCAACATGAATTGTTATGTCTTTCCCACTTGGTCCAGCACCAACAATTAGGACGTCTTTATCTATTCTATCTATACAAATTTTGGACATAAATACAAAAAAAATTCATAATTTTCCAAAAAAAAACTACGTAAAATGTTACCTTCATATGCTTTAGCATTGCGATAGTGCCGACTGTGAATAGCTTCTCCCTTGAATCTATCAATATCTCTTATATTAGGATAGATTGGTAGGGCAAAAACACCGCTGCAAACACAAATAGCATCAAATTCATCTGTTTTTGTATAATTCTTGATCTTATCTGTAACTGTGATTTTCCACTTATCCCCCTTGATTGACTCAACTTTGTCAACCCTATGATGAAATTTGATAAGTTTATCAATGCCAAAATGTTTAGCGTAAGAATTGATGTAATTCCACACTTCTGCTTGTGATGGATACGAATTGGTTCCATTCGGAAACTTCCATCCTGAAAACTCCAGCAGTTGGTATGGAGTATTTGCTCTGTAATTTTCAAATTTTATTTTTCGTTATGAGTTATGTAATAAATTCTATTATTTTAATTTTTAGTAGTGATTAATTGTGCACACCGAAGTTCTTTGTACATTGGAGTATGAATCTCGTCTTCATATTCATCTTTGCCCGTTTTCTCCGTATAGAACCAGATTCCTCCAAGAGCTTCGCCCTGTTCCCAAATCACTACATCATGTCCTAATTTACGAGCACTTTTTGCACAGGACAGACCCGATACACCAGCACCAATAACAGCAATTTTCAATTTATTTATTTTATGTGAACCGGAATTTGGAGCCGCTTGAAGGAAATTGACTGATAGCGTCAACAGAAACCAGTCTATGTATTTCGGATGGATAGCCATCCGAGATATTTTAGAATATCTGGATATTCAACGTAACTGCACAGCGACAGAGCTGTATGCGTCGCAAATAGAGTCTACGGTATGTCGCGATGTATATGTGTATCAAGTGCCGCACGTACACAGTCACACTGTGTCTGTATTTTACGTGTAGCGACATACCCTAGATTATATGTGCGACGCACACAGCTCTGGCTCTGTGCAGTTGCGTTAAATATCCAGATATTCTAAAATATCTCGGATGGATATCCATCCGAAATACATAGACTGACAGAAACGCATATATCAAAACCATAATATATTTAATTCTGGCTTTTGGTGGAAGAAAAAATAAAATTCAAACTTTGAAAATTTTTCAGTAATTCTACTTACCGTTTTAAAACGAGCAGCAAAACAAATTATATATTTTTCTTTCGTTTTTCGATATGAATTAATCGACAAAGCATGTAAATTTTAATTTATGCAGCTTTTCGATTTTTTTCCTATTAAACCATTCGATGAAAGAATTCAAAGTTAAATTGTACATGAACACCTGTAGTTATTTGTTTAAACAAAAAAAAAAAAAAACGTTGAAATTTTGTTTTTCTCACATTATTACTTAATATCTTTCAACAAGTTTTGTAAAAAATTCTATAGTAGGTAAACCTTATGAACCTATTATCAACCTTTATTTATTCACATTGATACCAACAGATGTTATTTCCAATACACATGCTCAAAAAAATCTAGGGGAAATAATCTCGTTTCGAATAGATAAAGTTTATTGCAGTTGTCACACACAATTCGATAAATTAAATACAAAGAACGCAAATCTTACGAATTACCTCGCGTTCATACCGAATTCTTTGCGACTTGGTCGAATTTGCGATTTTTTTCAGACACCGCCTGCAAACAATTTCGTATAAAAAACGCATAATCCGCAACGTTTTGATCAAGATCGTTTTTGTTTTATTTTTCATTACACCATTGACGTCTTCAAAAACGTGTGATAATTGTGTGATGTACGATAAATTCAGGTGGAAACAACTACGAATGTTCAATAAAAAAAATTGTGTGGCATTTTTCTTCTAAATCTTCAAATTATGAATAAATTTCTTATTTCGAACAAAATTTCAATGAATTTGTAATTTATCAAGCCTGATCATTTTTTAATTTGTTAAAATCACAGCAATGAAACGACAACAACAATAACACATATTTTTACTGTCAACATTTTGATGTCAAATGGTGTCGACATTGGTGACTGTATTTTGAAACAGACTGTGTAATCCATATTCATCGTATATGATCCTATGTAAAGTTCTATACTTGATCTAGTTCACATTGACGGTTCAAATCGTTCATGTTCACTAGCGTGGTCATGGACTGTGTGTTTCTTCTGTTACATGTTCGTTGTAATGGACAAGTAAAGAAACATGACGTAAAAAAATAAATTTAAAAATCCGTCCACTCGTGTCGACACCATCTAGCACGGTAGTATGGATTTCATTGCTGTGGTTAAAATAAACCCAAAACATTTTCTTCTTATGATAAAATTCACTTTTTACCACAATCTAAATAATTGAATATTTAATAATAATAAGGTCATGAAGATGCGCTTATTTGATGGAAATGTATCAAGTACAGGTTTTAGTAACAGCAGCAGGTAATTAATAAGTTTTCGGAAAAATTCTGAATTCATTATAGATTGTATGTTTTTTTTCATTGTTAATGGGAACAATATATAAATGTAAGACAATACGTATTCATCGTGAAGCATGAATTGTGTTGAACACATAGGAACATTCTTCTTAAGAATGTGATAACCTATTGTCTAATTGCGAACTGCTTCATTTCATTCATATTTAAAAGCATATGCAGTACAAACAACACTTGACTACTTACGGCAAATGTTGTGCTTCAATTTCTCATTAGAAACGATGCTAATTGTAATGAAATGAAAGAGCTTGATAGAGATTACCTATTCATTTGAATTTACAAACATGGAAAGTGTCTATTCTATGAGTATGTGTATTGAATTCTACCATTAAATGGTGGAAAAACTCAGCACCGAAGAAAAAAATATTCCATCATGTAAAGCGATTCATTTGAAAGATTTTACATCCACCTGCAGATCTTTTGTTTTATAGCTCTGATTGGCAGATTTTACAAAAACATATAAGTATAACATTCATACTCACTGCATTAGTGTTCCAACGAAAATTGGCAATTATTTCATTTCATTCATAAATGTATGGATAGATTCTAGCCGCTAGAGGTACTCATTATGAAGCGCATAATAAGAGATGTGAACTGAAATCGAACGATTATTTTAACTCAAACATCTTCTTCGAAAGGAAAAAAATAAATCCTATCAAATCAAAGCTCATTTATGGAAATTATGAAAAAAAAAATTCAATCCCGAACATTATATAGCTTTAGTAGAAGATAGTCTTTGACGTTTTGACAAGCAACACGTATTTCTGTGCGCT